AACAAAAGAATTCAAAATAAACAACGATTATGACAATTGTAACTTATCGATGGTACATCTTCACTGAAATTTTATTTAAACATGTTTGCAATACTTATTTTAGCCCATTTACGTCAAAAAAATTCAAAAAGTTATAAAATAACAATTGTCACTTTTCTATGGTACATCTTCATGAAATTTTAATTTAACATGTTTACAATCTATATTTTTACCCATTTGCGTCAAAAAAATTCCAAAAACTTTAAAAATAACGATTATGACAATTTTTCACTTATCTAAGGTACATTTTCACTGAAATTTTATTTTAACATGTTAGCAATACTTATTTTAGCCCATTTACGTCGAAAAAATTAAAAAAAGTTATAAAATAACGATAATGACAATTGTCACTTTTTTATGGTATATCTTCATGAAATTATAATTTAACATGTTTACAATCTATATTTTTACCCATTTGCGTCAAAAAAATTTCAAAAAGTTTAAAAATAATGATTATGATAATTGTCACTTATCTAGTGTACATCTTCACTGAAGTTTTATTTAAACATACTAGCAATACTTATTTTAAAGCATTTTGATCAAAAAAGTTTAAAAAACTTTAAAAATAACGATTATGACAATTGTCACTTTTAAATGGTAGATCTTCATGCAATTTTAATTTAGCATGTTTACAAACTATACTTTTACCAATTTACAACAAAAGAACGATTATGACAATTGTGACTTATCTAGGGTATATCTTCACTGAAGTTTTATTAAAATATGCTATCAATACTTATTTTGGCCCATTTACGTCAAAAAAATTTAAAAAAGTTATAAAATAACGAATATGACAAGTCACTTTTCTATGGTACATCTTCATGAAATTTTAATTTAACATGTTTAAAATCTATATTTTTACCCATTTACGTTAAATAATGATTATGATAATTGTCACTTATCTAGGGTACATTTTCACTGAAGTTTTATTTAAACATACTAGCAATATTTATTTTAACGCATTTTGGTCAAAAAAATTCAAAAAACTTTAAAAATAACGATTATGACAATTGTCACTTTTCAATGGTAGATCTTCGTGAAATTTTAATTTAGCATGTTCACAATCTAAATGATATTTTTACTTATTTGAGTCAAAAAATTTGAAAAATCTTAAAAATAACGAATATGACAATTGTCACATTAAAATATTATCCTTAAAAAGATCATTAAATAACATAAATAAGTTAAATATAAATATTTAAAAAAAAATTATTTAGCCACCTCTTTTAATATACTTAAGAAATAGATAATTTTACAAAAATGATTAAAAAAACTATAAAAGATTTCATATAAAAATTGTATATTTATTTATAATAAATTTCACAAAAGAATTCCTCAAAGAAGATATATTTACAAAGAAGATTCAAAATTTTTATAATATGTTCAAAAATCTTTTTGAGCTTCAAGTTTTTAGGTCCGTGAAGTTGGCGGAACGATGTTAGGATCAATTAACAATACCTATGCCAATATTTAGAGTCTTAATTGATCTTCAAACCAAACATCAGCGGAATCAATGGTTAATAATTTATAAGCAAAATAAGGGAAGTGTGAAATTTTGAAGCTAGCGGAACGATTTGAGGATCAATTACCGAACCTATACCATTGTGTAGCCCGTGAATTGATTCTAATTGATCTTCTATCCGGAAGGCAGCGGAATGAACCGTTCATGAGTTATGGGCAAAATAAGAAAGTGTTGGCACTTTGCCAAAACCGAAAATAAAAAAAATCATGATCTGAAACTTGGCAATAATGTAGTATTCATGTACATTAATAATCTGCAAACCGCATATCCGTATCACTAACCCGAGTTATAATGGTTTTAAAAACGAGAAGTTAGCGGAATTTTTTTTAAAAATTGAGGATCAATTACCGAAAATTATTCCAAAGTGTAGAGAGTGAATTGATCATCCAGAATCTTTAAACCGCACACCAGCCAAAATAGAAAGGTTTTGGCATTTGCCAAAATTTAAAATTCGAGCAATCATTTTTTAGTTAAAGCCAATATTTAGTGTCTTAATTGATCCTCCGAATTCTTCAAACGGAATGTCAAAAAATTAAAGGAAAGAGAGATATCATCAAAATAAAGAAAGTGAATTGATCCTCAAGTCGTTCCGCCAGTCAAAATTTACACTTTCTTTATTTTGATGATATCTCTCTTTCCTTTAATTTTTTTGACATTCCGTTTGAAGAATACGGAGGATCAATTAAGACACTAAATATTGGCTTTAACTAAAGAATGATTGCTCGAATTTTAAATTTTGGCAAAATGCCAAAACCTTTCTATTTTGCCTATAACTCTGCTGGTATGCGGTTTAAAGATTCTGGAGGATCAATTAACGCTCTACACTTTGACATAAATTTCGGTAATTGATCCTCACTTTTAAAATTCCGCTAACTTGACGTTTTTAAAACCGTTATAACTCGGTTACGGTTAGTGATACGGATATGCGGTTTGCAGATTATTAATGTACACTTTGAATACTACATTATTGCCAAGTTTCAGATCGTGATCTTTTTTATTTTCGGTTTTGGCAAAGTGCCAACACTTTCTTATTTTGCCCATAACTAGTGTTGTTAAACGGCTTATTTTGAGCCAATTTTTAAAAACGGCTAACTCAATATTTTATTAGGAAAAATATTATGCAAACCTTAAGATTGCTCATCAGTGACACAAAGGTTTGAACATCTATTGACGAAATCTCGAAGCTTAGACAATAATTTTCTGGCTAAAATATTAATTTAGCCGTTTTTAAAAATAGGCTCAAATCGAGCCGTTTAACAACATTACCCATAACTCATGAACGGTTCATTCCGCTGCTTTCCGGATAGAAGATCAATTAACGAGCTACACAATGGTATAGGTTTCGGTAATTGATCCTCAAATCGTTCCGCCAGCTTCAAAATTTCACAATTCCCTTATTTTGCTTATAACTCATTAACCATTGATTCCGCTGATGTTTGGTTTGAAGATCAATTAAGACTCTAAATATTGGCATAGGTTTTGTTAATTGATCCTAAAATCGTTCCGCCAACTTCACGGACATCATTCTTTATTAAAAAACATAAAATAATAAATAATATGTGTTTTCTTTTAAATAAATGCATTCGCAATATATTTATTGTTTCGCGATAAAAAATTCGCTGTAAAGTGTTCGCGTAAAATGTTTCGCTAAAATGAATTCGCGGTTAAGGTTTCGCGGAAATAAATTCGCGAAATTATCTTCGCTATAAATATTTCGCGGATATAAATTCGAGAATTGGTTTCGCGATTTTACCTTCGCTATAAAAACTTTTCGCGATAAAAGTTTCGCTGAATTAACCTGATACGCAAAAATATTGCTTTGCTATTACAGAGATGCGTATCTTATATTAATATAAATAAGAAATCTAACAAATCTTTTAAGTAAAAAGCATTATACATATTTTTCTGCGGTAAATTTAAAACAAAAATATATAACATAGTAAATTATCGACTCATAAGTAATATTTTTAGCATTAACAAAGAAAAATCACTAAATAAATCTCAAAATATATTGAATTAATTAAATATTGGTATTTATTGCTTTTAAAAATCAAAATATATTGAATTAATTAAATATTGGTATTTATTGCTTTTAAAAATCAAAATATATTATTTTAAATGAGATTGTATTAAGCCAAGAAATTATTGGTATTTTTACTGTTATATTTTAAAAATGATAATAATTCTTCATAGATATCCGTCTTAATATTTGATATAAAACTTTTTATTTTCCAAAAACCGAATATCCAATATTATATCCACGAATAACAAGATACAATAATGTCCAAAATAAATACCCAAAGTCCAGAGCTTAAATAAACAAAATCTGAAAATAAATTTTAAAACAATAAACTTTTATTGTTTAATTAATTTGCGAAAAAAAAATGTAAGAAAATGAATTTTCAACAGACCTATTTTTGTGATCTCTATTATTTTATTTAGAAAATCATTCTACAAAGATTCAATATATAATGTAGAAACTAGTTAAGATCAAACTAGTGGGCTTAACAAATGATACATAATCTTCAATAGTTAAGTATCATAGTGAATTCGGTGGCGTTGCTAAGTCTAAATGATACGTTAGCGTCGAGACTGCATAAATTTTAAAATTCCCTATTTGTAGATTGTCCCTTTGCAATGGTAGCCTAAAAAATTACAATAAAATTAGGGATATACCGATATTTTTATCGGATCAGGACGATATTTTACCCATTTTAAAATATCGGTTATCAGCCTTTTGATCTGATATAAAATGGCGTTTTTAACAAAAATAAAATGTTAAAAAATTTTTAAAAAAGTTTAACTAAAATTATTTATTTTTATAAATATTTCGAAATCCATTTTTATATTATTTTAATAATAATTAATTAACATTTTGCCATATTGTTATTTTTTGCGCATTCTGTTTATAAAAGTGTACGATAATCTCTTCAGAATTTGTTTTTAGTGAAGCTGGTGATATTGACAGTTACCATCGCCGCACTGATTAATTGGAAATTTTGGTATTTCTAAAAAGAAACCTTCGATATATTAACGTTAAATATTTATTTCAAATTTCATAATATATTTGTTTATTACTTATATGTATATAGATTAATGTTATTACTTATTATATAAAAGTATTTTAACAATAAAAATATTTTATATACTTTTAGAATTGCAATTGAATTGAATATAAAATACAACTGATCATTATAATATATTTAAATGGCATAAGTTATAATATAGTTAAATTATAGATGTTACACTAATAAAAAGTATATTAAAAATTAAAACCATTCCTATCTTTACAGAATACAAAATTAGATATGATATCGGATAGGTAATCGGCCGATATCAATTTAATATCGAGAATATCGGATAGGCCTCCAAAAAGTGGTATCGGTACACTCCTAAATAAAATGATACTCTATCCCCCTCCCCTTCCCTCACATATTAATAATGTCTAACATGGCTTTTATTCGTATATAAAATAATATTGTATGTATTTTTCGAAATGACATCCAAATCAATAAAATATAATATTAAATAATTATTTTGATGCAAAAATGGAATAATTTATGAGTGAGAGGGGGGGGGGGCAAATTTATGCAATTTTTAAAAGATCATAATGTTTATAAAAACAGATAAAACAATGAAAAACAGAAGAAATAAATGAGATAAAAAATAAAATAAATTAGGGCACGTAAATGATGTATGTATGAATGTATAAATTCTATCTTTAACAATTATATAAATAAAATCAACGTGAGGTGTAATGTAAATAATTAGACAGGTAAGAAAGCGATACAGAATATTTTTAAGGCTAAGGAAATTGAATTGATGTCTTGAACAAAAAAAATTATTTTTTGTCATTTTAATTTTGGACCTTTTTACGATATTTCATTCAGTGAAATATATAGATAAACAAACATAAAATATTATAATATATAATGTAAGAAGAAACAATTAATAACAAGTATCTCGAGTGGGAAACTAATAATTGAAACCAATATATAATAAAAAAGTCTGAGATTTATTTTATTATATACATAAAACTTTCTTATCTGTAAAGCAAGCAAGAGTAAAATAAATTTCGTTTTATTTATTATAAAATAGAATATAGAAGTTTACCAAAAACCCGAATCAAAAATGAATGAGAGCGCGATCGATTATAAGATTTTTAATATTTTTAGCACAAACTTTTGTTATTATTTTTTTTAAGCCATTAATTTCAAAAATATAAAATAATAATTTAAATTTAAAAAAATTGTTAACTAAAATAACTAGAAAAATTAAAAGCTCATTTTTGTCCAAAAAAGGGGTGGTTACATTTATTTATATTTACATATTTAATGTTGAAACAAAACGGTCACGAGACAATATTGATAAAAAAAAAATGATGTAAATGATTATGTAATAACGTGAGTGGATATAATAATCTGTAATAAAAACATTTAGGACCAATTATCGAGCACTATTTTGACTAATCTTTGCGTCCCCTATTGTATGTTTAAATAAATATAAGATTTCACTAAAAAATATAATTAAAATGTTCGTAAGTTGTTTACATTAAGGTGTACACATGCTTTTGTTCTTTTATAAAATTGTGCTATTGATTGAAGGCATCTCTTTTTTTGCTTTTACTTACTATTTTTTTTGGTAATTTTTGTATTTTTCATCTCGTAAAAAATAGTTTAAATTTCTTATTTATATTTCTCGATATGAACTATAGGCAACTATGATTTACTAAATTTTTTACTTTGAGCAAAATAGTGTTTAAAAACTTTTCTTCAAATTAATCGTTTGTATCGCTACCATTCTGATCTATCCCTTTTTATTTGCCAGATATGTTAATTTCTATAACTTCACCTTCACCAAAATAGTTTGGAGTTATATTAATTGGCTCAAAATTTTTTTTTCTTTAATTGTTGAGAATTAAGATATTTAAAGCTCAAAAATTTTACTGAATTTTAAATATTTTTCTTAAAATCAGCGTTCGGGTTGATACCAGAGAAATTAGTATTTTTTTGGACAATTTATTTATATTAAGAAATAATTCTGAGCATATGTATTTTTTGAGCATTAAGCATTATATTCTGAATGTTCAGTATTATATATTCTAGTGTTTTAATAATTTTTCCTGAGCAATTCAGTTTTAATTCTCTGTGATTAAATATGAGCCAATCGTTTATAAATCGAAACCATATAACACCCTTAGATTCCTCAACCCCTATATAATAAAATGTAAAAAAGTATTATTTATTACAAACCAAATTCTTTCTGGCTTTTCCCTTCACCGGGAAACCAACATGATAGACACAATGAGTCCATAAAGCCCAAGAACCTCGGCGAAAATTAAGATTAGAATCATACCCACGAACAGCCGGGGTTGTTGAGCCGTACCGCGCACGCCCGCGTCCCCGACTATACCTATAGCAAAGCCGGCGGCTAGACCGCTAAGACCAACACTCAAGCCGGCTCCGAGATCCAAGAAGCCCCTAAGAATTTAAATCGTAATGTTATTGCGGTTATATAATGCATTACAAATTTCTCGAGGCTATTTTTAAATGGAATAGGTCTATTTTTTAAAAAATTAAGTATTAATGTAATGAGTCCTCAAAAAGCTATGCATAGCCTTTTTAGAATACGGCCTAATTGGAGTGTTTCAATGATTTACAAGGATTTATTTAAATGAAAACGTTTTTTTCTGTCCAATTAGGCTCTAGCTCCAGGCACATAGTGAGCCTTTTCAATATTATGATTAGATTGTAAGAGGGCGCTAAGTTTAATAAAAAGTTATCATGCCTTTGAAAAACTAATGAATGGCTAAAAATATTGTTTCCGTGGTTCACCAAGTATATTTTGGTTGATGCAGAGACCCATATGTGCCTCTCGCAATTGAATTTGAAATGTTAATGTTTAAAAAACATATGATCGAATGCAAGGTTAGCATCCAAGACTAAATTCAAGACTCATTTATTTCAATAGTTTTATTGAAATTGTTAGTATTTTAATTGACTGACCAGTAAATATGTCCCTTTTTCAAGACTTTAATAGATTGGCCAGAAATTATTATATTTTTCAGTATTTAAATTAATTTGCCATTAAACAAAATTTTTTATATTCCCAGTAAAATAAATTCACTCGCTAGACTTTTGCCCCTATTATGGGGGTGGTGTATATGTTCGACCAAGTTAATTAAGCAGATACATAGTTCGGTAAATACGACTTATAAAAGTAGTGCTAAATTGTGAATTGAACCGAGAACCTAAGGACAGATGATAATTAAATAATATATAATACTGTTAAGTAATGTCGCTAATAACAGAGTTACCTTTTATAAGGAAAAACGCCACGTTACTTGTTTCAAAAGGTAACTAGTAACGCGCTTTATTTTGAGTAAAGATAAAACAAAACGTTATTTTAAATTTTTAAAAAATATATTTTATTTTATTTTATTTTTATATTATATATTATATATTTTTTTAAATATTATAATTAAAGCTCAACCACCTAAGTTTTTCATTTTTATTTTATTTTTTTTGTTGATTTTAAACAGTCAAGATATATAATACTGAATCAATCAAGGTATGTTAATTTATATTCTCTAATAGAGTTTTTTTATAAAGAATACGTCAATAGTACTTAGATGTAGATGATTTCTGCCCTGGTCTCTGTATGAGGCATTTTTTACAAAAATAAAGAAAAAGGCCACTAAGTCAACACTTTCTAGGTATAGATTGTGCCCTAATTGAAATATCTCACTCGATGTTCAGCAGCTCAAATCTAAAAAAACACATGAAAGTAAAAATATGAATTCAGATTAATTTCTGATAATGATAAAAAATATTTTGATGAGAATCTGAATGAAGATTCTTAATAAAGATCATTCTTTAAATATTTATAAATTCCCCTAATTATAATTTACATATATTAAATATAATACAACCCTCTCCTCCTCTGCGCCAATTGTGAGCAATAAGCGTTCTTGTTTATCTGATCAAAATTTTGAAAATCAATTATTAAATATTTTTGTTTTGACGAACATTTCGTTTTTATAGTATATTGCAAAATAAAAATGAACTAAAAAAAGGATCATAAAAACTAAAGTACCTCTTTTAGAAAAGTAATATAGTATAAAATATATACTAAAAAATTATATGAATTGAATAAGACAAACTTTTATCTTTATAAAAGACAGGTTCGAATTATGATCCTCAAAAAAAGACCAACCATTTCGGCTCAGTCTGGTCTAATTTCATCATATCTTAGTTTCTTTCTTTTACACCTTATTATATTTTTTTCAAATTAGCATAAAATTGTTTCATGTTTCTAATCTCTTAGCCTCTTACTTTTGCCTTTTCAAGATGTATAATATTTAGTAAATTATCCCTTTTAATAGTGTTGCTAAATGACCCAACTTGGGTCGATTTTTAAAAACGGCCCGATTAAGATCTTAGCCAAAATAATAGTATGTAAGCCTGGAAATTTTGCTTATAGATGCCAGAAAGGTTTGGACCTCTATTTGCCAAATCTCATTATTTGGATAAAATGATCGGGTCGTTTTTAAAAATCGACTCAAATCTGGCCGTTTAACAACACTACCTTTTAAAATAATTTGATATTTTCTTACCCCCTTTTTTGACTTTCCAATTTAGAATGTAGTCTCATATTTTCATCTAATGAGAACTTGGTTTCCACTTTCTTCCGTGCTTATTATTTTTTTTAAATGTTTCTTTCTATTCTAATGAAGGACGTATTTCTTCCTATAAATATTCCTCATGCAAAACTTCCCTAATTAATATTAAAAATAAATTATTAACTAAAAGACCAAAAAGGCTAGGTTGGCTGATATACATCATAAAGTACAATTATGAAAAACCTAATAAATAATAACTTATTAGTTCTCTAATAATTAAGTAGTATGGAAATTAATATAAATCCTAAATCTTTATAATCAATTAATATTAATATTATATTTACCTTCTACCCTTTAAATATAGAAAATCTAAGATCCCTGGTAAAATTTTCAATTCCACTTTTATAAGTCCTGTGTACTGAACTATAAATCTACTTAATTAATAAACCAAGACTCGTGATCCTAGAGTAAATAAACGGAATAGGAAGTGGCTTCGAAATATAAGAAAAACGAGCGAGACCGCTATAAACGACAACCGACGCTTAAACCTTTCGGCTCCCTTCTCAAGTTTGAAAAAAGATAAATGATCATTAAGTAATTAAGATTAAGCAAGCAATATGAATGTATAATATGGGCTAGCTGACTTGTAAAGGGAATAATTAGTCCTGCTTATCCCGTTGGCTATGAGAACTGCCACGACGAGTCCATAAATTCCGATGATACCCGCCATAACTACGGGAATGATAGATCGCATAATGAGCTCCGGTCTCATCACGGACATGGCCGCTATACCCGTACCCGATTTCGCGGTCCCATAAGCTGCTCCGAGCGCTATATAATAAATAATATAGGATGATGTCATAATAGTGGGCAAAGGTTAGAATTATAGGGGGAAAAATATATTATAGATATAAAGAGATAAGGGTCTATTTATTTATGCTATACAATTATTTTCAATTATGTAGTGGTATCCAAAGTATAAATAATCACGTCACTATTTAGAGATGATGTTCACCATCGATTTTATAAATCAATCGTAATTATAATAACAAAATTATGTTTAGAAGAACTGTAAAAATATCCGTTAAAATAATTTGTAGAAGCTAAATAAATACATTTCTAGCAAAAGTATTTATTTTACACTTTATGAATTTTTACAAGACGCGTAGGTGAGTCAAATGGGAGTTGGCTCGGGTCATTTCACATTAAATTGATCACGATTAGGTCAATCATTTTGATTTTTAAGAAAATTTAAAACCAGTGCAACCTATATTTGGGAAGATTTTGACCCTCCAATTGTTATATATTTATAGATATCAAGAGGTAGAAGTATAATGGCCCTTCTCCTTGACGAGTTTTAGTTTTGATTTAATTAATAAATGACTAAAAACTAAAAGCTTGTAAAAAATAAATTTAGTATCAAAAGAAAAAATAAATTAAAAATTTTTTTTTTAAAGTTTTCGGGTATCTTTTGCCCAGAACAATATTAAAAAGTTTATAGTTATATTTTTATAAAGCAGAGTACAAAGTAAGGATGTACCGATACTTTTTATAGGATCGGATGGGGCCGATATTTCATCCATTTTAAAATATCGGTTATCGGTTAATATTAAAAATTCCCGATACGATAAAAATGGCGGTCCCCATCGATGCAGGCTGATCTGATAAATTGGAAATTTATTTCTAAAGAAATCTTTTAAATATTAATTTAATAAATATTTATTTCAAATTGCAAAATATATTCGTTTATTACATATTATGTAAATAGATTAATGCTTTATGAATAAAAATATTTTATATACTTTTAGAATTGTAATTGATTTGAATATAAACTAGTGAACTGCATCGGGCCTAAATTTTCAAGCCCGGCCCGGCTTGAAAATTTTTTTAAAAAAGTTTTGCCAGCCCGGCCCGAACTTGAAATTTTTTTAAAAAGTTTTGCCGGCCCGGCCCGAAATTTATTTTAAAAAATTTACCGGCCCAGCCAGGCCCGAATTTATTTAAATATAGAAATTAATTTTTATAATTACTTAAAATAAAAGACATATGTTATATAGCGTTTAGTTTCAATAAATTAAATCAAAATTTTTTATTTTAAATAAAAAATTCAATATAAAATTGATAAATTTAGATATATTTAATAAAATTTCGAAGGTCCGACCCGACCCGGCCCGAATTTTTTTTAAAAATATTAGGCCCTGCCCCGATTATTTTAAATAGAATTAGGCCCAAACCCGGCCCGAAGCCCGTCCAGGGCCGGACGGGCCTAACTTTGCAGATCTCTAATATAAACTATAACTGATCATCTAATATAAACTATAACTGATCATCTAATATATATAATCTCCATAATCAAAACATGATCGCTTTCGTATCTTCCTAATGTATTTAAAATTTATTTTTTTGCTCTCTACGAGAGTCGAACCCAAACCTCCCGTTTCAAAGGGGTATGTTTTAAGCATGTACCAACTTGAATATAACTAAATTTAAAATTTTAATCATATATATATTAATAGCTGATATTTTTAAAATTTTGCCGTTTATTACCATACTAGCTGACAGGGTTGAAGGGTAATTATTTAGTTTGTGTGTATGGTATTAAATATACTTTTATTAATAAATTTTATATAAATATTAAAATTTAGGAGAAAAGAGGTAAAATTGTTGCAAAGTATACCGTGAGCATGTATTAGAAATATCAAAATTTAAATTTGTGATAGGAATCATATTGGGTAAAATTAAAAATAGAGATGCTTCAAAAATTTTGAATTTTAAATATGGGCTAGACATTGGCCTGAAAATTTTATTTATAGCCAGGCCTGATCAAAAAACTAAGTCCCATGAAACTTTCATAAAATTTTGCCATTTATTTATATTGTAATAAAAATGTCTTAAATTTAATTTTAGAATAAAATTTAGATTTGTAATAGAAATTATATTGGGTAAAATATAAAATAGAAATGCTTGAAAAATTTTTAATTTTACATATGGGCTAGACATTGGCCTGAAAATTTTTTTTTGCAGAAAATCGCCAGGCCTGATTAAAAACCATGCAACTTTCATATTCTGATTTTATTTTAAAATGAATTATGACTTTTTTATATTTTATTTCAGTTCTCAACTAACAAAATTATTATGGTCTTTGGCGGGCTTGAGAAAATTTTCCAAACAATATGGTTTTCAGAGATTTACCTATCTCCAGGCTTGGGGAAAAATTATTATGGGTTGGCTAGGTTTGAGAAAAAAAATTTCAGGCCAATGTCTGGTCCATATTTAAAATTAAAAAATTTTCAAACATATCTATTTTATATTTTACCCCATATGATTTCCATCACAAATTTAAATTTTTTTCTAATATAAAATTAAATTTAAGATATTGTTATTAAATTATAATAGAAATATATGGAATATAAAATTAAATTTAAGACATTGTGTTATTAAATTATAATAAAAATAAATGGCAAAATTTTATGAAAGTTACATGGGACTTGGTTTTTTGATCAGGCCTGGCTCTGTCTGCAAAAAAAATTTCAAGCCAATGTCTACCCCATATTTAAAATTAAAAAATTTCCACGCATCTCTATTTTAAATTTTATTCAATATGATTTCTATCACAAATTTAAATTTTATTATAAATATAAAATTAAATTTAAGACATTATTATTAAATTACAATAGAAATAAATGGAAAAATTTTGGGAAAGTTGCATGGGACGTAGTTTTATGATCAGGCCTATCTGAGTCTGCAAAACAAAATTTTGAGGCCAATGCCTAGCCCATATTTAAAATTTAAAAATTTTGAAGCATCTCTATTTTTAATTTTACCCAATATGATTCCTATCACAAATTTAAATTTTGATATTACCCTTAAATGTTCACAGGTTAGATTGCAACAATTTTACCTCTTTCTCCTAAATATTAATATAATGCATATTAAGCATCATATTCACAAGCTAAATAATTACCCCTCAACCCCGTCATTCTTGACGAGTTATTAGCTAGTTATAATATATTTAAAAGACATATGTTATGGTATAGTTATATTATAGATGTTATATAAAAAGTATACAAAAATTTAAACCATTTATATCTTTACACGGATCAGCCTCCATAAAGTGATATCGGTACACCCCTAGTAAAAAATAACCAAGCTCTTTAAAAATGGTGGTTAATAGTGCATTACTTTTCGCCAAGTAGCAATAGCGCCCTACTTTCAAAAGTAGAGTTTAATAACACTGCAACAAGTCATAAATATTTATTGTCCATATCTTAAAAGCAGGGATGAGAACCCGACCCCAAACCCCTTTTTAAAAAAAATTTACACTGCAACAAATCAATTTAAATCATAATATTTCTTGTTCATACCTTAAAAGCAGGGATGAGAACCCGACCCCAAGCCCCTTTTTAAAATTTAGGGCTCAGGGTCCAATCTTTTTTTAAAAAAAAATTATTTTTATTATTTATTTTAAACTTTCATTTTATTTATTTTAAATTTATATGTTAAAAATAATATAATATATATAAAAAATATGTAATTTGCGATTTTAATTTATAAAAGATTTCCTATTTAAAACAATTGTTTTTTATTCAAAAAAAATATTGTTTGACTATTTTTCCGTGGAATCATTTTGGTCAGAGATCTGCAGAGGTACCGTTTGCATGGCCAGGCCTGGGGTTTTTTTTAGAAAAAATTTTCATGCCCAGCCCAGATTTTTTTAAAATATATTATATTTATTTTTGATTTTTATAGCTAATAATGGCGATTTCAAATATTTGTTTTTAAAATATACGGCTCGGATATTTTTTTAAAAAAAAATTATAATACGGCAGGTTTCTGATTTTTGTTATATTTGAGAATTAGCCATTTTTCGTAAATTTTTTAAAATTTTACCCAGTAAAGCAGATTTTAAAAGTTTTTTTATAAATGATGATAATATAATATACTAATATCTATTTTAGGATATTGTCGTTTGTGGATTATTAAATTGATAGTAAGACAAAGGGAAGTATAATATCACTAGTTATAATTATGGTGAGAAATTATTTCTATGGCAATACTAATTAAAATAAATTTTTAAAAAATTGATGTTTCTATTATTTTAACTAATTTTAATAAGTCATTATTTTTCTGGTCTCCGAACCCTGAATCCGAACCGGGTTCAGAGATTTTTCACTGAACCCAAATCCGAACCCATTTTTTTAGAAAGAGGGTAAATTTTAAATCATTCGTGACAATGCACCAAATAGCGCCTTATGAGAAAAAAATTCCAGTGTTTATTTTACATAAAAAATATGAACTTTTTATAACATTGGTTAAAAGATAGAAAGGTGGGTGTATCTTTAAACGAAAGGTTTGAATAAACTTTTCTACCGTCTTATTTATGTGATACCTTTATTTATATTAAAGAGGAATATTTTCATATTTTTATTTAAATAATTGAAAAAGTAAATTCTGATTTTATCTTAAATCATAAATGCATTTTAATCTAATTTAATTATTGGGAGCAAATATTAAATATTTTGCTCTCTAAAATATCTTAGTGAGGGTAAACCGAACATTCTTACTAGTGTTGTTAAACGGCTCGTTTTGAGTCGATTTTTAAAAACGGCTAACTCAATATTCATCCAGAAAAATATCACGCAAGCCTGAAGATTTTGCACATAGAAGGAACAAAAGTCTAGACATATATTATCGAAATCTCGAGGCCTAGGCGATATTTTTCTGACTAAAATATTGAGTTAGCCGTTTTAAAAAATCGGCTCTAAAAGAGTTGTTTAACAACACTAATTCTAACAGATAGTATCCAAATATATCTAAAACTAAGAGTATGT